TTCCAAATCACTGTTTACAATTTACATCCAATTTCCTTATGTTGTACACACACACACACACACACACACACACACTGTTATCATCATCCTTCCTTCATTTAACTCTATTCATTATCAGAGCATTTCCGCCCCCCAATAATCAAAACTTAGCTAAATTCAACTTAGTTCTTTTTCATTAACCTTTATATATAACCAAATAATTTCTAATCTTCCTTTCATAGGTACCATTTAATATTCATATCCATTTACTACTTGTCGTACACATACATACATACATATAATTATCATTATCAGTTGTTTATTTAACCATATCTATTGTCACTAAATTCCCCTAAATTTAACTAGTGTTAGATTATACACTTTCATCTATCAACCTGTATCTTTCCAGTAGCAAAACAATCTCATGTCTTCTGCCATTTGTGGTATCAGTCCTCTAATCATCTCCTTAATCAAATTTGCATGGACTCCTTTTTGCAACTCATTGCTTATTGAGTCTCTCATGTAATTTCGATGCCCTTCTTCTGTTTCCTTAATCAGCTTATCTTTAATTGTCAATGATAGGAGATTTAAACTTTGTGTAATCTTCCATTTGTATGTCAGATATTAGCTAGATTATTTTTTTGTATTTTTTGTAATATGGACAGCCATATACAGGTAGACTTACAACCACAATTGAACCCAAATTTTCTGTTTCTAAGTGAGACATTTGTTAAGTGAATTTTGCCCCATTTTATGACTGTTTTGCCACAGTTGTTAAGTGAATCACTGTGGTTAGTAACAAGGTTGTTGAGTGAAAGTGGCTTCCCCTATTGACTTTGCTTGTCAGAAGGTTACAAAACGTGATCATATGCCCCCAGGACATTGACAACTGTCCTAAATATGAGTCAGTTGCCAAGTGTCTGAATTCTAATCATGTGACCATGGAGAGGCTGCAAAGGTCACAAGTGTAAAATATGGTCATGTCACTTTTTTTGAACCATCACTAAGTGGATTGTTGTAAGTCAAGGACTTGTATGTTTTTATTATATGTAATTTTTTTGAAAACATGAATTTTTTCCTCTATAATAGATCATTGAAAAGCATGAAACTAAAAAGAAAGAACATTGGAAATAATACCATTCAAAAGATGGGGTTTTTTTTCCAAAAGGCAACTGGACTTTGCTTTTCCTTGAAGAGGTTTTGCTTCTCATCCAAGAAGATTCTTAAGTTCTTTTGGTGGGTTTAGGTTTTTGGTGGGTTTTCAGTTCTTCAAAACAGAAGAAGCTTCTTAGGTGAGAAGCAAAACATCTTCAAGGAAAGGCAAAGTCCACTTGCCGTTTGAAAAAAGGGACAATCATGATCTACATAGATATTTAGCTAGGCATGATCCCCTTTTGGGAACTTCTGACCAGCAACAACAATGGGGAAGCCTAATTCACTTAACAACCATGTTACTAATTTAACAGCAGCAGTGATTCACTTAAGAAGTATGGCAAGGAAGGTCGTGAAATGGGAAAAAACTCACTTAAGAAATTTCTCAGTTAGCAACGTAAACCTTTGGCTCAATCATGGTCATAAGTCGAGGATTACCTGTATATTATATGTACCTGTGTGGCCGCATATGGCTCACTTTGCTTCTGTTCTTTCTGTGACTGAGTTGAAAGAATAGAAATTGACGTTTTTATACAAAATGGTTAACTTCTGACAAAACTGAGCCTATGAATTTATCGCCATGTTTTATCCACCATTCCTGATAAATTATTCCTTTGCTGTAGTTAGCCAGGTTGCGTATGCAAGAAATTTTGAAACATGAAACAAAACTAATTTTCACTGAAGTGAGGAATATTCTTCAATCTTCTGTCAATTTTAAGGGTCTTCTCAGAAATTGGTTGTGGGCCAGCTGATTGCAGAGCGTACAACCATAGAGCATGCGCCCAGAGCAGCCACTGCCGAAAGACTCGGGTTGGAAGTCACGGAAAAAGACAGGTTGCGATGGCGGCGGCGGCGGTGCCCTGACTCCGTAATGAGAGCTGGGCCATGCATCGTGCAACTCCCCTCTCCAGCCATGCAGAATACCATTCACTAGCATTTGGAAGGCGCCAAGCCGCGGGAGACGAGCGGCAGTGAACAAGCGCTCACGGCAATACCCCTAGGTCAGTGAATGGCGCTGTGCCCGGCTGCAAAGTGGGTTTGCCGGGTGGCTGCTTGTGAGTGTGGTTGCTCCATGGCTGTTGTGCCATTCACCCATGAAGCTGTGCCCGGCTCTTCGGGAGCCCGCTCACAAGAGAGCAGCTGCCCGGCAACCCCAAAACAATAAACCCTCTCCCCATAATAAGGCCCAAGCCATATTTTGTAGATAAAAAGAAAATAAGACCCTGTTGTATTTTTGGAAAAACACAGTAGTGCCAAAGTAGGTAGTTTAAATAGGGAGGATACTGTAAGAGCTGTGAAAAATTTCCTTGAGAGGGTTTGTTCATTCCCAAAATATCTTCTGTACTAAGTGTGTTTAATTCTTAAATGTCCACTTAATGGAAGACAGAGAAAGTGGTTTTCTATCATCTCTGAGGATTCTTCCACATTTTCTATCACCAAGCAATGATTCAAAAAATTATATGTGCATGTCTGCCTGCCTGCCTGCCTGCCTGCCTGCCTGCCTGCCTGCCTGCCTGTCTATTATCATCTATCTATCTCTTGTCTTTTCAGTCTCTCTCTCGCTCTAGTATTTATTTACAACCCTGTAATAGATAGATGTTGTAGATCAGAGGTGTCAAACTCAAGGTCCAGGGGCCAGATCTGACTCAAGGGTACTTAGATGTGGCCTCCAGGGCCAGCTTAGAAACAGCAAATTGGAGTTTGACACCCCTGTTGTAAATAGATACCTGAGTCTGCCTATCTCTCTCTCTCTCTCTCTCTCTCTCTCTCTCTCTCTCTCTCTCTCTCTCTCNACTCTGTTTGAAAGGAGCTTTTTAAACAATGAAGTACTAAGTGTATCTTGGATTTTATTGCTATAATTGGGATTTTCATTGGTAATACATGCTCTCTGAATAAACAATGCAACAACAATATGTATTTCCTTTTTTGGATTTTCAGGACCAGGTTTAGAGTTTAAAGATGAAGTTGAAGAATTGCAGGACCAAGCAAACAAACTTACTACATTGGGTGTCAACAAAATTATTGCACTTGGTCACTCTGGTTTTAAGGAGGACCAACGCATTGCTCAGAAAGTTAAAGGCATTGATGTTGTCATTGGCGGACATACAAACACATTTCTTTATACAGGTATGTTATTCCTTCACACACAAAAAGGATTTTATATAACCTTGTGCCAAATATTGCAATTCCTCACACTCAGATCCATTTAAGGAAGTCAGCATGTATTTATATGATTTGTATAAATATCAGTTGCTTTTATAAACAGAATAGTTTGGGCAACTGTAATCCTAAGTGAACTTGCTAATAAATCTGGCATGAATCCCTCTTTCCCATTGGTTTGAGTAGTATAAAAAGAAAAGTCATGAGTTCAATAATGGCATATTTTATAAATTCAGCTTGACGTATAGTTTGCTTTTCAGTTTGTTAGGCATCAGAGCTTCAATATGGTCTCAGGAAGTTCATCGATTATAGTTTGCTGAAGGATATAAAAATGCTGAAACTTAAATCTAATATTCCTTGCTTAAATAAACCATTTTTCTCTCTCCCCTTAATTTCTTTCTTGTATTCATGTCTTATCTTTGTTCTACAATATACCAGTATTTGCCAATTTTCTCTTCTGTTTCCCCCCCTCCACCTGCCACAACTGTACACCCCTTAATAGTTATGCACAGCGAGTGTGGCAAAATTTCCTGCATCTGAAATGTTTAAGGGTTCTGAAGGATAGCGCTTGACTTGTGTCCATTCAAAGTTATGATAACGGTGCTCAAAAATGTGATTTATGAACACTCCCCACACACCTGTTGCAGCGTCACTGCGGTGACATGATCAAAGTTCAGTTGTTGGCAATCAGTGTGTATTGTTGCAGTGTCTCATGTGATTGTTGTTCATGATCTTCCCAGGGCATTTCTGACAAGTTGCTTAACAACTGCATGATCTGTTTAATAACCATGGCAAAAAAAAGTTATAAAGTTAGGCACAACTCGCTTAATGATGGAAGTGAGGGAAGTTCCGCTCCCAATTTTGGGCATATGTAAAGGACCAACCTATATTTTTAAAGCTGTCAGAACTCTCCACAGCTTGATTCATAATTATCTTCTAAGTATGATATTTCTCAGGAAGACGAAAGTGGGGGAAATGTATTTTTTGACATGCTCCCTTGTAATGTCCAGAGTGGATAAATAGAATAGCAATAGCAGTTAGACTTATATACCGCTTCATAGGGCTTTCAGCCCTCTCTAAGCGGTTTACAGAGAGT